TCTTTAACCCCAGGGCCGGTTTTCTTTATAAACGAGCCCGGGTGCATGAAACTTTTTGGGGCAATAAAATATTTTTCATAAATAAAAATAAATGGATTCGAATTAAACATATGTTGTGTAATATTTATTTAAATACGCGATTTTTTACGGTATTTCGTTAATCATTTCAGAGAAATTACAATTTTTGTCCATTTTTTTCGATGCGTAATACAGCAAGCATTTTTTACATATGCTTGACCGCACATAATTTTTTATTAGTTTTAATTTGCTAAAAGAACGCCCTGTACAAAAGTACAGAGCGTTTTTAGCTATACTCTGTACTGTGATAACTATCAAAACACTTACTCACACACCTTTTCTTGCAGCCGAAGTTTATAAGAGAAACTTTCTAACGTTTTCGGTCTTGTTAAAAGACCTTTCTCAAGAAAATAAATCAAATAAAACAACAAAATTGTAAATCGAACGCTTAGTACAGTTAACACGCTTTTCGAATCTTTTCGAAAAGATTCGAAAAACGTGTTAACTATACTAAGCGTTCGATTTACAATTTTGTTGTTTTATTTGATTTATTTTCTTGAGAAAGGTCTTTTAACAAGACCGAAAACGTTAGAAAGTTTCTCTTATAAACTTTGGCTGCAAGAAAAGGTGTGTGAGTAAGTGTTTTAATTATATCTGTATTGGTAGAAAATTACATACTGTATATATTTTGTTTTGCAATATGGAAATATCTTAAATAACAGTTTTATTGTTTTTTGTCAGGTATTATTTAATATTTTTTCATACATTATACAATTTCATATAACTTACAACAATAATACAATTTCAGTTTCTTAATAGAATAATCCTGAAAATTTCTTATCAAATAATTTTTCTAAATTTTAAGTTCTTTGAAAATTTACAATAATTTTTTAGGGAATACCAGGTTTACCAGGGATAGAAGGAAGACCAGGTCAAAAAGGTGAACGTGGTGAATTAAAATATCCAGAAGATATACAAGGACCAAAAGGATCACCTGGTGATCGTGGAGAACCTGGATATGCTGGACTACCTGGCTTTGATGGAAGACCAGGAAAAATAGGTTTTATAGGATTTCCTGGAAGAAAGGGTGAACAGGTAAATGTTTAAAATTTTAATATATGTCTATATAAAAAATTTTTATTTAATTTAATCTGTCCAATTATTCAATTCAGTTACCAATTTGTACAAAGAATTTCAAATAGAAATGAAAGGAATGGTTTTAAATTGCTTTTAAATGTTGAATTTTTTGTTAGATTTAATAATCAAATTATTTGGTAATTCATTTTTGAAAATAGCCAGATTAAGTCATTAACATATAAAAAATATTCATAAAATCAGAAAAACAAATTTTTAAAAAGTTTATTAATATTACTGAGATTTTAAAAATTAAGCTTTAACAAGATTTTTATAAACTTTATACAATTACCTTTTTTTACTTTGAACATCAAGGCTTAAATGCAGAATCATGTAGAACACCTTCAGTAACAGAGCAAGGCTGTCACTAATCCTGATGCAAAAGTTATTCTTAGGACCCCATAATGTTTACACTTTTGTTAAGTTATATATATATATATATACAGTGTTGGAATTCAGCCAGTTTACTGGTTTAGCAGAACCTGTACCTAATCTTTTGTTGAGTTCAGCAAACTGGTTGTCAAAATGGCAATTGTAATCAGGGTTCTCTTTAAGATGGGTGCCTGGGCAGCCACCTAATGTGGAAATCACAAATTTACATCCTTACACTTTTTTAATGTTTGTCTGCGCAACAGTGTATTCTAAATGCCCATAGTAATGTTCATTCTGTCCACAGGTAAAAATAAATTTGATGGAACTATGCTTATAATATTTATTTATTCATTTCATAAAACTCATTATACCTTTAATGAAATATTGCATTTTTATTCCCATTTGTTGGTTTTCATTGCAAAGGAAATTAAAAAAGAAATATTTAATAAAATTATTGAAAATGATCTGAAAATATGTTTGATTATTGACAAATCTACAACAATATCCTGCAAACCAGTTATTATACTTCTCTTAAAACTTGAGGATTCAGTTACATCACCAACAATTTTAATTAAACTAGTTGAATTGGAAAAACAAGATAAAGAGACAATATGTTCTTCAGTTACGGAAAATTTAAATAATGCTGGGCTTACTAAGAACTACCTAGAAAAAAATTTAATAGGATTTTGCTCCAATGGTGCCAGCATTATGCTTAGGAGGAAATCTGGAGTGAGCACTAGGATTTCAAAAGAGTTTCCAAACATAATAAGTTCAGCATTTCAGCAGAAGCAGAAAGGGGTTTTTCAATGATGAACATAAGTTCAGAGAAGTCACCTAACTGTTTCTTAAACACAATGCTATTAGTCTAATTGGCCTACTTCTAAAGGAATGAGATACTACTCCTGCAGTGAAAAGATAGTTAAGGATAAATCAAATAGCCAATGATGCTCAGATAAAAATGAAGAAAATTGCAAGTTAGGACGCTAATCAAGAAGCAATATGGAAATATCTTAAATAACAGTTTTATTGTTTTTTGTCAGGTATTATTTTATATTTTTTCATTAATATTTTAAAACTCTTTTCTTATAACATAATCTAGTTTTGTATATCTCTTTTATTGCTTTTATTTAAGTATTAACTGCATGAAATACTAAACTTACCTTTCTATATTGATTTTCTTATATTTAAAATGGTCATTAGGGCAGTGAACCAGTTGTTAAATTATTTGAATCCTCCCACTGTATGTATATATATATATATATATATGAATAAATATATAGCCCATAAGCATATATTCTATGCCCATAGATCCCTTAACATTTTTAGCCAAATTTGTTAGATAATGTATGTTATATGTCATGTGTAATTTCTGCAATACTTTGAAATTCACATACCAATATATTAATTTATTTAATAATAATAATTTGAATATAAATTGATGCAAAATGTTCATTTTTCATTTTACAGTCCAAAATATTTATTTGAAACAATCAGTTAATCAGTTTAATATCAGTTAGCATATAACAATCAACATAATTTAAATGATTCCAATTGTGCTATTTTAAATGATATTAATTGATATTTTTACTAGGGTCAAAGCTTAGAAGTACTGTTTAATATAACTAATTTGTTATACAGGCATACCTCGACTTACGTCATTTCGAGTTACGTCGTTCCCAATTATACGACGTTTGTCAAAAAAGTATATGGAAAAATAAATATCAAGTTTAAATCATTTTATTCGACTTTACGTCTGTCCGCCACAAATATTGAAGTCGTAATATCACTAGAAAAACGTTTAAAGCACATAAAATCATATTAAAATATATACAAGTATGTTCTGTATTTACAGTACATGCATTCGTAAATTTAGAATACTTTTTTCTGTACTATATTAAAAACTAAAATTTATTTGTTTGTAAGCTTAAAATAGATTTTTATTAACCATATATTATTAAAAATGCATTAATAAATAAAATACAGAACCGGGAATGGTAATTTATGGTTTAGCCTAGTGACAAGTAGATTCGGAGACAAGTAAATTCGACTTATGTCGTTCTTCTGGAATGAATTACCGACGTAAGGTGAGGTATACCTGTATAGGGAAAAGTAAGCAAAGTGTGTTTTTTCTGTATAGCTATAATTGTTCCAGTTTAGCTAACTCTAACTAATATGATTGCTTACTGAAAAAATAAGTGTGTAGATTTGATTTTACAGAAAAACATTTTTAAACATGCTGATTTAACTAAAAGTTAAATTATTGATAATTATTTGTTATACTACATTTGTTATACTACATTACTACCATTCATATGTTATACTACATTTGCATGATACATTATGATGGTGATTCATTTTATAACTAATTATGTACAATTTTAATATGGTTTATTTTGAATAAATTTTTTTATATCTTAACACATTTTGATGTTTTGATTCACTCCTGGAACATTTTGAACATACTTCATAATTATATTTGATATCTTCATATTATTATTCATCTCATTCAGATTTTTGAATTTTTATAGATTCCTATTTTTGTATTATTTCCAATACTTATTTGAATAAATTTTTATTTTTCAATTAATTTTATTAGAAGTTTATGAAATTGCTGTAATTAGATGCCCATTTATTTGTGCTAATCAAATATTTAATTTTTCATTAGATAGTTTCTCATCCGTCTTCATGCTATCAAATTATCTAGCTAAAAATTCTAATAAAGATTTTTGATTCACACTTTGATAGTTTATTATTCCATCTAAATATTACAACTAAAAAAGTATTGTTTTGTTTATTTATTTATTTTTGTTTATTATTATTTTACTTATTTGTTTTTTTTTAATATTGTTGTCAATAAGAATTAAAAAACAAATACAGGGAAAAGAGTGAATGAAAAATTAGACTAATATTAAAAATCTAAAAACATCTATTTTTGATAAAAATTAATTTTCTTTTGAATACTTTATTTAATTTTGTTTCTATTTAACTTTATTATTATGTTTTAATTTAAGAGAATAACATAAAATCTATATTTTTGAGATTTTTATTGGCCAGAAAAATTGTGTTCTTTACTAATGGTATTATGTACAAAAAGCAATTATTGTATTTTAATGATTGTAATCTGTGTTGGCATATACCCCAATGAAAATTTTACAACAAAAATAAAAATAAAACCTTTGCATAAGCTGCCTCAACTTGTACTCTCTGCCATATGGAGTGATGGCTGGTTCATAGACACAAATTTGTAATTGTACTTTAACATTGGCATGTAATCCACTCCATTACATAACCTGCACCTTTTAAATGATCTTTTAAGCACAAATAACCCATATACACATTGTGAAGTTCCAGCAAAATAATCATTAACCGACAAAGGATAATATTACTGAACAAATGACTATGCACAGTGTACAGTTAAACAAAGTATTTATTTTCACGAAATAGATAGGGATTCCAACTCAATGGCAATGAATGGTAATACAGCAGTGATAAGATTATTGACGGACAAATGACAAGAATACATATATATTGCAACATATATAAGGAAACTGATAACAGGAACACTACAACTAGTATTTACAAACTAACTTTAAATAAGGGAAGAGGGAAGTTAAAAAAGGAAAGTGATAAACAGTAAGATAGGTTATAGAAAAAAATGAAATACCTGGGATGTACAGAACTTTGCACACTTTCAGTGGGAGACCATATGGAACTTACTCAGACTGATAGCTTGTCACCATCTTCCTTTTTCTTCTTCTATCTACTCAATACTTCTTGTATCATCACTACGATAAGTTCACTGATCCTTATCAAACTAGTTTTGCTTCTCCAGTCTAACTGATCTCAACAACATGGAACACCATCTTCTATGTCCTTCCTCTTTGAAGTCCAGTCGAAAGAATGTCTCACTCATGCCCTCAGATCCTTTTTCTCTTTGTTTTTTTTAGTTCCATGAATTGGCTCTCACCACCCAAGGGAAAAGAGTAAGAATAGAAAGTTCTAGAAGTGAGAAGGAACAAAGAACAAAAGGGAAAGATGCTTAAACTATGATTAAATTAATATATACAATGGCATATGGCCACAACATGAAAATACAGTTTATTTTTTACTTTTTCATGCAAAGTATTTTGTGCTTTATACTAGTAATAATAAAAGAATAGAAAGTAATTTTTATTATAGTATTGGTTAATTTAATTTCAAATAATACTGGTATTAAAATTTAATATATATGGATTCAGTTACATCACCAACAATTTTAATTAAACTAGTTGAATTGGAAAAACAAGATAAAGAGACAATATGTTCTTCAGTTACGNTTTTAATTAAAATTTTTATATTGAAAAATATAATAATAAAAATAAAAATATATATTAAATATAGATTATATATAATTATATAATAAATGTAGATTAATTAATTTATATTATTTAGTATGATGAGTTTAATATTCATATTTTGTAGGGAGATTATGGTGATGTTGGTTTTCCTGGAAATGATGGTATTGCAGGAATGAGAGGTTTGCCAGGATTAAAAGGATTGCCTGGTGAAACATCATTTGGCCTCCCTGGTTCAAAAGGAATGAAAGGAGTCCCTGGTCCCCCTGGTTTTCCAGGCATAAAAGGCTTGCCAGGTACTTTTTTTTTGTTTTTAATTAAATATATTTGAAGCTGAGCATTAGCAAAGCTTCTTCTACGAGTAGTGTTACCACTCATCCGGTTTTCACCCAGACAGTCCGGGAATTGACTCACTGTCCAGGTGAACTATTAATTTTGTCCGGGAATTTCATAGAAATTGTGAAATTACGATGAAACAAAGTTCTTGCAAATATTTTTACAAATTTACACTATTTTAACAGCAAAAGAACTCATACTCACTGAAACTCATCTGCAATTCTGTCATGTTAGTTAGTCTGTTTACACCAACGTGTGGCGCGCAACCTGTCAATTTTTTTTTTTTTTTTTTTGTTTTTTGCATGTATGATCATACACGTCTTTCCAATATCCAATAGAACTAAGTCATCTGTACCTGTTCTTTCTTAATTTAGGTTACTCCTACGCAAGTCCCTAGTCTCTAACTGTAACTGATTTAGAACTGCCATGCACGTTATTCCTCGCATTGTAAAATGACATTGCTCATGCATCAGGAACTTCTGTTCGAACAAACCTGACCTGCCGTCCAGGTCAGCGGTTTTGAAAAGGTGGCAACACTATCTATGAAGCTTACAGAATTGTGTTTGTTATCAAAATCCTTTCGATAGATTTTGATTAAACTTTGCCATCTTCCATTAATTGAGATGCAGAATCCAAAAATTCAATAAAAAATGTGGGTCCATGACTTTATTTTCGAGATATAAGGTTGTTTTGCAAGCATGCACAACAAAGCAATATCACCCAAATCACGTGACTTTGTTGTGCAATGTTTCATGGTCACTAGCACACCTTATATGGGCTTATAGAATAGAGTTTGTTCTCAAAATTTAATGGATCGATTTTGATAAAAATTTGCCATTTTCTATTAATTGAGACAAGGAATCCAGAAATGTAATATGGGTCCATTTAAATGTAAGAAATCCAGCAATGAATTGCTTAACTTTCCTGGCAACATTTAAAATTCTGGTGGTGCTATCTGTTATGATATTTCATTTTAAAAAACTGTTTACATTTATAATTATTATAAAATGGCAAAAATCATAATTTTGAGAGTAGGGATGGGTTTTATAAAAAATTGTAAATGCTAATAATGAAATAAAGTCCGGCCCTACTTGCAATATGACATACGATCACCCTTTATCTCCCCACCCCATCTACCTTAAACCACCAAAATTTAATAGCATGAATCTTTCTAATACACAGATCTTACTGCAAAATTTCAGAAATTTTCAAAAGCACAGGAGTTATTAAGCTTCAAAGAGGGTAAACAAAATCATGCCATACACATACATTAACATCCATACGTACTGAATGTTTCTGCATTTCTTGACATTTCAAGGTCCCCTAAGTCCAAAAATGTAAAAATCTTGTGGGGTCATTTTTGACTGATTGCCATACCTTTCCCTCTGTTATATATAACAGAGCCAGGAAAGTAAAAACAGGAGTCCATGACTTTGTTTTCAATATACAAAGGTATTACAGTGACAATGTCCATGCTCTCTGATGTGATGAGTACACCTAATGGAATTTAGGCCTATCGATCAAAAATAACAAACAGTATTATGTGCGCCTAATGGAAAATAGGCATGAAAAATGAACAAAATACAAGAACAAAGCAGTCAATGGCAATTGCTTTGTTCTTAGATAGTCTCTCTATAACTGGCCAGTGCAAGGATCATGTCTTCTGTGGCCTGAAATTACAAGGATAGCTTCTTTTGTGGAGGCAAATGCAAAGTTCATCTGTTGGCATCCATTAGGTACTGTATAGGAATTGCTTCTTCTGTGCCTAACAGGTGCAGGGATCACTTCTTTCTTTCCGGTTCCATTTCAGTTCTATCACAATATGTCAAAGTCATGTTATCTTCTAGTTAATTACATTATTGCATTGGACATAAAAAACTTGGACAGTTGCTGCTGATTATGCTGTAAGATTTCCCCATATAAGGTAATAAACAGATTTATTATTAATTTTTAAAACCACACCATTCATTTATAAACACCCTGTATAAGTAACATTAGTACATCCAAAAAACATTACTGTATTGACTGGTATGAAAAGAGATTCGTGGGATGGGTGACACTAAATGTAGTGATGTTGCTGAGTGCAAATGTAATTTCTATAATATATATTAAAATATATTTATATTTTAATGCTTTTCTGCTATTATTTTAAACATGTGTCCTCTTGAAATTTGAAGGCAGTATAGTTTACAGTAATGGATATGTACAGTAGCTATAATAGACATTTTTGATATATAGTTTAACCCGATAATGACGTCATCCATGGGATCAGCAATTTTTTGACGTTATAACCGAGTGTCATTATCTGTGGGGGTCATAATTTCAGTCCCATAAAAAGTACCAAGTGTGTTTAAGAATCTATTATAAAATCCATTCTAATTTAACATCATATGTATTACTGTAAAATTATTTCTAAATGGTAATACAGTATATACTGTATCTATTACAGTAATAATAATTTATAATAATAATAAATGGCACACCAACAGAAGAACTCACAACTTATTGGTCTTCTCTTTGGTCCAATGCTGTTACACACAATGCTGATGCAGGCTGGATCGAGGAGGAGAACAGAAACTTGCATAACATACCAAGTATGCCCTGTGCTGAAATAAACATACACGACATTCGCTACGCTGTTAACAGAACACACAACTGGAAGACACCTGGTGTAGACAACATTCACAATTTCTGGTATAAAAAGTTTACATCACTGCACCAGGAACTAGCTAAACATCTAACACACATCATCATCAATCCACAAGACATGCCAAAATTTCTTACTCAGGGCATCACCTACATGAAACCTAAAAACAACAAAACCACAGACCCCACACAATACAGACCAATTACATGTCTTCCAACACTCTACAAATTATTGACATCCTGTATCACAAACAAAATATACAAACATGTTGAAGAACACGACATTCTTACAGAACAACAAAAAGGTTGCCGTAGAAATCACAGGGGATGCAAAGAACAGTTACTCATAGATTCAGTCATTCTACGGCAAGCACACAAACAACACAGAAACATACACATGGCATATATAGACTACAGAAAAGCATTCGACAGTGTTCCACACAGTTGGCTGCTACATATTCTACACATGTACAAAATACATCCATCACTCATTGCATTCTTCGAAAACACTATGCAGCACTGGAGAACAACACTACATCTCAGGGTTAGTAACACTTCCATACAAACAAACGAAATATTCATTAGGCGAGGAATTTTTCAAGGAGATTCCTTGAGTCCTCTCTGGTTCTGCCTAGCCCTGAATCCATTATCCAACATGTTAAACAACACGCAATACGGCTACAATATCAGACACGAAAAAACAACACAGTTTACACTCTCACATCTCATGTACATGGACGACATAAAACTTTATGCATCCACACAAAAACAACTTCATCAACTCCTACAAATCACACATTCATACACTAAGGACATACAAATGGAGTTTGGCCTAGACAAATGCAAAAAACTTCACATAGAAAAAGGAATCCTGAAGAAAGAAGATTTTGCACTTGGAAATGGAGACGTTATTGAATCCATGGAAGAGGGCGAGTTCTACAAGTACTTAGGATTCCAACAGGCCAAACTAACAGAACATACACAAATAAAGCAACGATTAATTAAAGAATACCAAAGTAGGTTAAACGCTATACTTAGAACACAGTTAAATGCAAAACACACAGTTAAAGCAATAAACACATATGTCATCCCAGTACTCACATACTCTTTTGGAGTTATACATTGGACTCACACAGATCTCGAGCAACTCCAAAGGAAAACAAGAACAACACTTACTAAGCATAAACAACATCATCCTAAATCCGCCACAGAAAGATTAACCCTTCCACGTAAAGAAGGCGGACGTGGCCTGATTGACATAGTTAACCTTCACTACAAACAAATACAGTCACTGCGAGAGTTTTTCTACAAGAAACAAGAAACATCACAGTTACATAAAGCAGTAACTCTAGCAGACTCAAATAACACACCATTAAACTTACACTCACATCATACAGACATGACACAACACATAAAAAGCATAGACACCATCAAGCAATCGTGGGCTCGAAAGGCACTCCATGGCAGGCATCCTTATGACCTGGCCCAGGATTTTGTTGACAAAACTGCGTCAAACAGCTGGTTAGATCGGGGATGCCTCTTTGGGGAGACGGAAGGATTCATGATTGCCATACAGGATCAGGTCATAAATACTAAAAACTACAGAAAACACATACTCAAAGATACAACACTCACAAATGACACATGCAGAAAATGTCACATCATGCCAGAAACTATACAACACATCACTTCTGGTTGCAAGCTCTTGGCACAGACAGATTACTTACATAGACACAATCAAGTAGCAAATATAATACACCAAGAGCTTGCAAAGAAACACAAATTGGCAGACATCCACGAACCATACTACAAGTATATTCCACAGACAGTATTGGAAAATAACACGCACAAAATGTATTACGACAGAGCCATAATCACAGATAAAACAATTTACCACAACAGACCAGACATCACACTCATTGACAAACACAATAAAATCACATACATTATAGACATAGCCATTCCAAACACTCACAATGTACAAAACACATGCACTGAAAAAATTAGCAAGTACACAGAACTCGCCCAGGAAATAAGGCATCTGTGGAGGATGGATAGGGTAGTTATTGTACCTGTTGTTCTCTCCTGTACAGGTGTGATACCACACATGCTACACAAAAGCCTGGGAACATTACAATTGAGTAGAAATACATACATCACACTACAGAAGGCCACTATATTGAATACATGCCATATTGTTAGGAAATTCCTTAATACTGACACTGACACTGACACACACATTTAATTTTAGTTTTGTTTTGGTTGCTATGGCTTGACTCTGGCCCGGCATAGTACACAGCCACCAGTGTGAACCGAGTATATCTCACAAAACACAATAATAAAAGTGCAAACTAAATGTTTAAATCAACTTTATTTACATCATTATGTCTAAGTACATTGATGTAATTAAAAATTTCAAAAAATATCTTTTATGAGAAATTTCTATTTGTCTTAAGTTTTGATAATGGCAGCACTTCGGTTTTGAGAATAATGTTGAATTAAAGGGCAACAAAAGGTTAAACTAATGTATGCCAATTAAAAAACACAATAACAATATACACTTTAAAAAGTCGGTTATTGTAGATTGTAGGCGTTTTTCATCTAAAAATTGTTTATCAATGTCATTTTCTAAATCATATACTTTGTTCATTATTTCTGATTCAGTCTAATGTTAAAGCTTTCCTTTTTAAGCTAGCCATTTCACCTGATTTGATGCTAAACTACAACATGAGTAACTATGCAGACTAACTGATCGTCACGTCGTTTAAAGGGGTCATCCCACCAAAGTCAGATGGTGAGAGTACCACCATCCATAGTCATTCTTGGAAGTGGACTGACCCTAGGAAGTGAACACTTACAAGGGAACTGTCGGAGTTTCATCTAATAAATTTTAATAAAATTTAGTTAATGACTACGTTAAAAGTATNAAATTTCACCATACAATTTTTTTGTAATAATAGTCACGTTAGGTCCTATTAATTCGCATCTAATCACTAAATTTCTCCATCCAATCTACCTGCAGTCTCTTGCCGATGGAATTGGATTACCCTTCCCTTGTAACGACGTGCAATATGTCCTTTGTTCTAGCTGGAACTCCTCGTGACTTCAAACTCACTCGTTTGTCTCCAAGCTTAACATCCAAACTGCACCCAGGTGAGGAAGGGAAAAAAAAGATCCCTTTACAGGTTGTACATTCCCTTTTATAACTTCAGCCATCTCGAAAACGTCACATGTCCTTACTGTACGACCCAAAATAGGGTGGTACGGGACAAGTCTAAAATACAATGCATAACACAACACAAAACCTGGTACCAGCTGAACGGAATTACAATTACAGATACGATAGTATATAAATTAACAAAATTAGGTCTCCCCGCAAGTATAGTAGCGTAGCACTACAATGCCATACCACATACTAGATACCGCATACCGTATACTACATTTACACCACAGTGGGTACAGCTTGGCAAGCAATACCTCAAGCAACCATTGATAGTATGTCTCATCTATAGTGGCCTGTAAAGCCATATTTGCTACTGAATATGGACCCATGGGAGCCAGATTTGCTACTAAATAAAGGTGTCTATTGTATATCTTTGTTTGTTTTTTTTAATCATTTGCATATCTCTATCGGTCAACAACCCTAATATTTCATTCGTTGACATTATATTAGGGTTGTCATTACATCTGATGACGTTATAATCGGATTAAACTGTATTTATAGTCAGCTGTATATTAACTAAATTAAATAAGTAAGCTGAAAAATTTTTAATGTAAAAAATGAATATTCTAGGTGAAAAAGGTGAACCATACAACTTGCAAGAAGTTAGTAAAGTAGAATTGGTTCCAGGACCTCGAGGAATATCAGGAGAAAAAGGAAAATCTGGAGAAGCTGGAGAAGTAGGTATGTATAATGTGAATATGTATTTATGAAAGTCTAAATTTAGAATTTATTTATAAATTAACTCAATATGCCTTCATATTTACAAAAGTTATGTTCTTGTAAAATATCATCAATAATTTAAAAATGATTTAGTATTATATTAATCATAATTTAAATAATAAAATTTTGAATCTTGGTTGCTTGTTGTTCTCTATTATATGTATTTTCATAGCACAATGTTTCTGTTGAGAATATACAGTAGAGCGTCAGTTATCTGAAAACATTCCAGTCGGCAAATTTAAATTTTTCCTAGTGTTGTGGCGCTGCAATCTTTGGCTATATCTTGGGCTACTCCAATATTTTTTTGTTGGTGTGTGTGTTTTAGCTTGTAGCACTGTCACTTTTGTGTGGTGTTTTTCTGAGGACTGTGTCATGCCGAATCAAACGTTTTTGATACTAGATCATCTTCTAAAGTATATATTTTTTGGTTTTTATATTTTTCAATATATTTATTTTGTTTGTAAGAAATAAAGAAATAATTTTTAACGATACAATAGCCACGATTATTATTTTAAAAAGTATAAGTTAGGCTTAACATCAACGAAAATTCAATGCGAAGCGACACACAACGGAGAAAAATATCAACATGGGATAGGTTAATATATTTTTTTGTACATAATCGGTTATCCAAAAAATAAGTTATCCGAACAACCTCAGTCCCCAATTGATTTGGATAAACAACGCTCTACTGTATCTCACAGGAACACTCAAAGGAAAAAGGTTGTTTTATTGGTGTGGACGGATATGCATTTTGGGCTTAATGCTCCTCTTCAGTCCTATTATTACATATTTTACTGATAAATATGTAATAATAGGACTGAAGAGGGCATTAAGTTTCTGTTGCCCAGATGACGGTCGCCTAGTTAACCATCACCTACTTGACTATTTCTCATTGTGAATCACCTAGTTGACTGTGTCCAGTTGTCATGTACTTGACCACTACATCATACAAATTGTGAGGCCTGTGGTTCAGCCACTGGTGCAGGCCACATCCCACATGATGTCCTAGCAAAACAATGCTCAACTGCACATCATATGGTGACTTCTTGCCAGCCTTGTTGAACAGAATTTGCATCTTTCCCTGGCTGGCAGCCTCGCCAGATCTCTCTCCCATCAAACACCTATAGGACATGAGACGTACCATATACTATATACTGTAATAACTCGGATATATCGAAATATATCAAGTTTATGTGATGGAATAAAACAGAGGACTTTACAAAAATTTTACATGACTTTGACAGACAAGTTTAATGATCATGAAGAACAACATAGAGTTAACATATACCCAACACCACTTCATTCCCACACTTAAATGACTAACAATTGGTCAAGGGTGATTTCAAAATAAGAATTAACTGCACCCTCATTGATGCATATATACATGTACAGAATCACATTACACTCCTTATACCAGGGTATTCTCTTCCATTCTAGGTATTCTCTTCTTCTATTCGAAATCGAGTGTTTTTCAAAATTTCACCATACAATTTTTTTGTAATAATAGTCACGTTAGGTCCTATTAATTCGCATCTAATCACTAAATTTCTCCATCCAATCTACCTGCAGTCTCTTGCCGATGGAATTGGATTACCCTTCCCTTGTAACGACGTGCAATATGTCCTTTGTTCTAGCTGGAACTCCTCGTGACTTCAAACTCACTCGTTTGTCTCCAAGCTTAACATCCAAACTGCACCCAGGTGAGGAAGGGAAAAAAAAGATCCCTTTACAGGTTGTACATTCCCTTTTATAACTCCAGCCATCTCGAAAACGTCACATGTCCTTACTGTACGACCCAAAATAGGGTGGTACGGGACAAGTCTAAAATACAATGCATAACACAACACAAAACCTGGTACCAGCTGAACGGAATTACAATTACAGATACGATAGTATATAAATTAACAAAATTAGGTCTCCCCGCAAGTATAGTAGCGTAGCACTACAATGCCATACCACATACTAGATACCGCATACCGTATACTACATTTACACCACAGTGGGTACAGCTTGGCAAGCAATACCTCAAGCAACCATTGATAGTATGTCTCATCTATAGTGGCCTGTAAAGCCATATTTGCTACTGAATATGGACCCATGGGAGCCAGATTTGCTACTAAATAAAGGTGTCTATTGTATATCTTTGTTTGTTTTTTTTAATCATTTGCATATTTCTATCATCTCTACTGGTCCTGCAATGTGCATATGGCTGTGCGCATTCTTTCATGGTGTTGTGATTTCACTTTTGAGAAGTATAATTTATGTTGGTATTGCCTGGTTTTTCATAAAAACATTGCCAAGCATATGAGATGCTTTTTCCATCTTTAAAGTTAATGAAACTGCTTATCAGATTGGTTTTTTAAAATTTCTAAAGCTTCTAGAGCCCTGATGTGATCAGTTTGCCAGGAATGTTTGATTAATATTGCATTCTGGAGGTCAGCTTGCAAGTCAGTCTCTGTGGCATAAATGGACAGTGTGAGATCTGGGGTGGAATGAAAAACATTCTTTTAACCATAGATCCAAACAAAAACAAGTCTTGATCTTCATGATTAATTAAAATTAAGGGAACTAAATTATAAAAGAAAAGAGGAAAAATGAAATTATTTTACATTAAAACCATCGCAGTAAAATGGGAGAAAAATTAGTAAATTAAATTTTTTTAAAGACAAGATGTGAATAATATAAGAAATGTTAGTTAAGATACAAGTTCGTTCAACACTGAATGAAAGACAATGTTGAATTGTATTCATAAACAATCATCTTTCTCAGGAACCGATCTGGTCCAACTTCACCTGAGAGAGAGAGAGAGAGAGAGACACCAGAGAGAGACCAATCTGGGACTGAGAAAGGGGATTAATAACCAATAAAGTAATGATTTTCAAGACCACAAGATATTTAAGCCCAGGCCACAAGGACACTTCATTCTTTACCATGGTGTCCCATGAGGCTGTCTTTCACTGGAGTGTTTCCCACAAGGTTCCATCTCTGTCCTTTATCAGTGTATTCTCTGAAAGTTATAGACCTTTGTAGAGAGAAACTTCGGAAATTCCGATTCTACATTTACCGGACATTGTTTCCTGTTCGAGAACTGGACTTAGAATGCAACATCAATGAATGGAATTAGAATGAACATGTCAATGAATGGAAATCACCTTTGTCACTGGAGTTTCTTCTTCTTCTTTTGAAGACTACATGCCAAAATCTACAGGGACTTTAACCCTTTGTGAAAAGTACTATTGACTTTTATTGTAAGTTAATTGTCTAATAAACTGGTTGTGTTGTTTCTAAATAAGGCATCGGTCTCTGACTCAACTGCTCCCTTGTATTGTTGATTATTACCGCTCAGCAGTCCAGATGGCAATGGAGATGATAGTGATATATCACTTACTAGCAGACCCCACCATGCATTGTTGTGGCTCAAAATGTATCTATTATAAATATATAACACTTTCCCCGTGGGGGGGAAATTTTTCAAAAAATTTCTTCTCAGTGTACATTCTCTTGACGTACTCTATTAAAACACAATCAAAAACGCAAAAACCCGCATCTAAAATAGTATAATAGAAGCCAAGTTCTTCACAGTAAGCCTTAATCCTGTCCTTCTCCCCCGCAGGGGGAATATCAAAAAATCCATTCCTAGTGTACATTCTGTTGACGTACCCTATTAAAACGCAAAAAACCGCATCTAAAATAGTATAAATAGAAGCAGAGTTCTTTACCGTAAGCCTTAATTAATTCTAATCATCTCCCTTTAGTGGGGGAATTTCGACATGTATATTATATAAAAACACGTGTGTATTCGAATGCAGCATTGTATCAAAATTTCAAAGGAATCGGTAGGAACAAACGAACATTACATTTTTATTTATATAGATAGATAGAAGATGATCTGCTTTAGCTCATTTTCACAGAAAAGCATAATGCCTCACAGAAAAGCAAACTTAGGGCGTCATACTCATAGTGCCATCTGTTGGACATAAAAGTCTTAACCTAGATTATATCTTTTAATTTATATGAATGTTTAACGGAATAATATACAGTCTACGTCCACCCTGAACTTCCATTCTAAATATTAGTGAAAGAATTTTTAAATCAGATGAGTAGTTTTGGAGATTACCCACTACATCCAAACTTACTTACTTACAAACATTACCTCTTTATAATATTAGTATAGATAATCGTTATTTCATTTTGAAATTTTTTTTATTCCCCTCGACCCCCTCACAACAGGGCTCTGGTATGTCTTTTATTCATTATATTGTAATGATGTTCTTGTAACCTTTTGTGTATGGAACGCTTAGTGGACCAAATGTACACCAGATCTTTTTCGGAACCTATTGTTCCTCACTAGAACCTTGTACACCTCTGGAGCTTTACATTTGTCAGCGTTGTACTTAGTTATAGAATCATTTCCCTACAGAAACAATGGAGAAGGAAGTGATGTTGCCGTTTGAATTACTAAAGGGAAGTGGATAGAAGTATTTTCATTTCAAGATTCTGATTCTAACAATAATCTAAATTTGCTGAACATTTCTTTTGGGACTCCAAAGAATTCAGGTACTTATGCTTGGATATCTCCTAATTCATCAATTCCTGAATCTCTCTCTTTCTCTCTCTAAGTGAAATATGTAATGGGTTGCACAAACAAAAAACTTGTATTATTCTGAAATTTTTTATGGTACAGACAGTACATAGTCAATTAAGTTAAAATTTGTTATTTAAAAGATAGGAAAACTGATCTCCTATCTTCTTTCCTCTAATAGTCAGGCACTTTCTCATTAAAAAATATTAAAACCAAAGTAGCCTGAGTTTGTTAGTTCTCAGAAAAACTGATTGGTGTTATCTGTCAAAATCTATATAATCAAACAAGCCAACTTAACTATTGTTATAATATTTGTGCTGGATATAGCTTATAGCAGTGTTCTGCAACCAGTGTGCCACAAGGTGAAAGGTGTGATGTGAACATTTATATATTCTATTAATTTCAAGTTTTATTTATATATTTTTATGCTTGTTTCTTATGCCGTGTTTCTTATGCTTGTATTTCATTCACTGATAAAATAAGATGATGTTAAAGCAATAAACACATATGTCATCCCAGTTCTCACTTATTCTTTTGGAGTTATACATTGGACTCACACAGATTTTGAGCAACTCCAAATGAAAACAAGAACAACACTTACTAAGCATAAACAACATCATCCTAAATCTGCCATAGAAAGATTAATTCTTCCACGTAAAGATAGCGGACATGGCCTGATTGACATAGTTAACCTCCACTACAAACAAATACAAACATTGCAAGAGTTTTTCTACAAAAAACAAGAAACACCACAGTTACATAAAGCAGTAATTCTAGCAGACTCAAATAATACACCATTAAATTTACATTCATAACGTATGGACATGACACAACATATAAATAGGATAGATACCATTAAGTAATCATGGGTACGAAAGGCACTCAATGGTAGACATCTCTATGACCTGGCCCAGGATTTTGTTGATAAAACTGCATCAAACAGCTGGTTAGATCGGGGATGCCTCTTTGGGGAGATGGAAGGATTCATGATTGACATACAGGATCAGGTCATAAATACTAAAAACTACAGAAAGCACATACTCAAAGAGACAACACTCACAAATGACACATGCAAAAAATGTCACATCATGCCAGAAACTATACATGTCAATTCTGGTTGCAAGCTCTTGGCATAGACACAATCAAGTAGCAAATATAATACACCAAGAGCTTGCAAAGAAACACAAATTGGTAGACATTCATGAACCATACTACAAGTATATACCACAAACATTATTGGAAAACAAAACACACAAAATGTACTATGACAGCCATAATCACAGATAAAACAATTTACCACAACAGACCAGACATCACACTCATTAACAAACACAATAAAATCATATACATTATAGACATCTATTCCAAACACTCACAATACACAAAACACATTTACAGAAAAAATTAGCAAGTGTACAGAACTCGCCCAGGAAATAAGGGATCTGTGGAAAATGGATAGGGTGCTTATTGTACTGTACCTGTCATTTTCTCCTCTACAGATGTGATACCACACACACTACACAAAAACCTGGGAACATTACAATTGAATAGAAATATATACACCACACTACAGAAGGCCACTATATTGAATACATGTGATATTGTTATGAAATTCCTGAATACAGACACACACTAACACACTTTTTTAATTTTTGTCTTGTTTTGAAGTTACTGTGCCTTGACTCTGGTTCACAGTACACAGTCTACAGTACACAGTACACAGTCTAGTACACAGTCATTGGTGTCAACCGAGTGTAACTCACAAAACTCAACATAATAAAAATAATAGGTTTATGGCATTACGAAATTCTATTAATACAGTAGACCCCCCTATAACGCTTAGATACGTTCCACGCTAACCGAAAATTACGTTGTAGGAACGATTAAATACATGAGCCAATCACAGCCCGATAGGTGGGAACTTTACGGACTAAGGCTGTTCGAAAGGTTTTCTTCTATAAAATTAACCGATTCTAGACTAATTCGACTCAACATTTCCAAAACACGTATAATTTTTTGGGAGTAATCCGTATAAACTATGCTATAAACAAAAAATTATAGGATTACTTACCGAGTGTGTACCGTTCGACTACGCCCGTTGTTCAAAGCTTGTCTTCGTCGCGGAACAGCACACGAAACGGCGGCCGCGATATCTGATAAATAATTTATCGCAGAAAGATAACTTGACCTTTGGAGACATCATTAATATAAATAATTTTTATGGCCGTTGAATAAGAAGTGTTTCTTTCACAAGAAATGTATAAAATTAGTGCTGTATTAGACTTACGGTACCTAATTTACATACTGTACAGACGATAATAAACTCAACTTACTAGCCTAAAATCTCCGTAGCGTGTTGCCAGGCGGCAGAAAGCATATATATAATTATAATAAAGTTACAATAAATTAAGTTAATATATAATTATATATACAGTACCTAATTTATATATAATTAATATATAATTATATGTACAGTACCTAATTTATATATAATTTATATAAAATACTAAACAGACGATAGCAAACTCAATTTAGCCGCTCCGTAGCGTGGCGCAGGGTCGGAGGTAAGTAGTTCGGCTGCTCATCCACTATTGGTCCAGACTCTATCAATCTTCTCGCGAAACGACGTTATAGGAGGTACGTTATACGAAAGTTTCTACAATTTTTTCGCTACGTTATAGGAATTGTCGTTATAGGAACGTACGTTATAGGGGGGTCGACTGTAGTATTATATCATACGTTTTTGAGGAAAATAACATTTTGGTGTGCCGTGTTGAGTCATGTCAAGTCATAGGTGTGCTGCAAGTAGAAAAAGCTTGTGAAACACTGGCTTATATCATGCAGGATGTCACTAGAGGGATCATGTGGGTCACCACATAGAGATGATGATATGTTTGACATGTAGTACCTGTGTTTTGTGTGAAATAAAACAAGCTAAGTAGATCTATCTCTACATATTCTTTCTAGTTATTTATCTAACACACATTTGTATTTCCTGGTCAACTAGATAAGGTTACAATACTCTGATATATAAGAACCTCACATAATTGATTTTGTCAGCTTTTGTTATGTTCATATTCTTAATCAATCTCCATATGAAACTTGAAAGTTATATTACATTGTAGCACTTCATGGCTATTATGTATTATTATATTTTTTCTTGTCTTTATTGTTTTTTGTTTATGTTACATCGCATGTATGTTTTTTGTACAGATCCTTTTCTGTTTCCTTCCTCATTACCACCTGTTATCTGATGGCTGGGTTTTTCGATGTGACGATTGGTCTGTGACAGGATCATGTGGGACAGAGTAATGTGGGTTAGCAGGGAGATATAAAAATATGTGTAATGGAGGTGAAAGGTTCTTTTCTCTTCATGAGTGTCCATCGTGAATTGAAGGACATACGTAGCAGGCAGTTAGAAAGAGAACAGAAGAGAGGAGAATCAACCATCACCAGTATTAAGAAAGTTATGGTGCTGAAAGGTAATCCATTTCCATTGAAGGAATAACTAGTAAGGAAGAGGGAATCACCATCTAAAAAAGAGGAGGACTATAGTGTAAAAATCATCAATGATTGTCTTGTTACAAAAGAAAGCTCATAAGTTTGATCATGTACTCTGTTTCCCAAATTTTACTTGGTGTTAAATTTCTGTCATCAGATTCATACTGCTTGTCAGGCAAAGCAGGGCCTAGCGTTTAATAAGGAAATTTGGAAGGGGGATGATCGAGTAGAATTAATACTGTGACGTGATCAGTTTCCATGATTGAACTGTGTATTAGTATTAATATTGTACCGCGTTTTTGGCTCCAATAATCCTTTGCTTGTCAAGATACACATTTCCACTGACTATTCATTATCCCTTCCCTTTGTTTCATTCATCTTCTTTTAAAACTGCAGACCACGTGCCTTGCAGAGTTCACAACATTTTGTTATAGTAATTAGGAAATTAATTCTTAATAGTCATGGCTTAACATAGAAATAGTTTATGAGTGTTTTGTCAAGTAACTGTTCCCATTCACCTACTCTTTTGCATCATAATCACAGAGTGATTTTTATCAAATTTGTCTTTCAATTTTTTCTTCCATGTAGTTCAATCAGTAATTATACATTCAAAAATTTTATATTAAATATTTTCTATTTAAGGTTTTACTTTATCTTCTTTATAACTTAAATTTAATTTTGATAATTTTCATCATAAAATTAAGAAGACAATAATAAATGTTTAGTTTATACTTTCTAAAATATTTAAAAAAGCATAAACATTTTTTAATAACTGTACATACGATAATGTAAAATATATTAATGATTATATTTTAAATGTTAATAAGTTAGTAAGATGTAAGGTTTATAATCAAATGCTATATTTTATGTAATCTATGAGTAAATTTAATCATAAAAAAAAATTTAAATATTAATATTAGACAATTAACATCTAGGTCCTGTGGGATTGACTGGTAGAGATGGATTACCTGGATTTCCTGGAAGAAAAGGTGAACCTGGAAGACCAGGAAGTTCTATTAGAGGATTAGATGGCTTGAAAGGATATCCTGGTTTAACTGGAAATCCTGGATTTCCAGGATCACCTGGACCCCATGGTTTGCCTGGTTTAAATGGTTTACCTGGATTGCCAGGAATAAAAGTAAGTTTTACTTTGGAACAATGTTATAACATCATAATTAATGAGAATAAGAAATTTAAAGAATTTAATAATAATGTAGGCTTACCAGACGTCCCGTTTTGACCGGGATTGTCCCAGTTTGACTATGTTGTCCCAGCGTCCCGGCCAGTTTGTCATTTTGTCCCGGTTATTCATAACACAACACAAAACCTGGTACCAGCTGAACGGAATTACAATTACAGATACGATAGTATATAAATTAACAAAATTAGGTCTCCCCGCAAGTATAGTAGCGTAGCACTACAATGCCATACCACATACTAGATACCGCATACCGTATACTACATTTACACCACAGTGGGTACAGCTTGGCAAGCAATACCTCAAGCAACCATTGATAGTATGTCTCATCTATAGTGGCCTGTAAAGCCATATTTGCTACTGAATATGGACCCATGGGAGCCAGATTTGCTACTAAATAAAGGTGTCTATTGTATATCTTTGTTTGTTTTTTTTAATCATTTGCATATCTCTATCATCTCTACTGGTCCTGCAATGTGCATATGGCTGTGCGCATTCTTTCATGGTGTTGTGATTTCACTTTTGAGAAGTATAATTTATGTTGGTATTGCCTGGTTTTTCATAAAAACATTGCCAAGCATATGAGATGCTTTTTCCATCTTTAAAGTTAATGAAACTGCTTATCAGATTGGTTTTTTAAAATTTCTAAAGCTTCTAGAGCCCTGATGTGATCAGTTTGCCAGGAATGTTTGATTAATATTGCATTCTGGAGGTCAGCTTGCAAGTCAGTCTCTGTGGCATAAATGGACAATGTGAGATCTGGGGTGGAATGAAAAACATTCTTTTAACCATAGATCCAAACAAAAACAAGTCTTGATCTTCATGATTAATTAAAATTAAGGGAACTAAATTATAAAAGAAAAGAGGAAAAATGAAATTATTTTACATTAAAACCATCGCAGTAAAATGGGAGAAAAATTAGTAAATTAAATTTTTTTAAAGACAAGATGTGAATAATATAAGAAATGTTAGTTAAGATACAAGTTCGTTCAACACTGAATGAAAGACAATGTTGAATTGTATTCATAAACAATCATCTTTCTCAGGAACCGATCTGGTCCAACTTCACCTGAGAGAGAGAGAGAGAGAGAGACACCAGAGAGAGACCAATCTGGGACTGAGAAAGGGGATTAATAACCAATAAAGTAATGATTTTCAAGACCACAAGATATTTAAGCCCAGGCCACAAGGACACTTCATTCTTTACCATGGTGTCCCATGAGGCTGTCTNAAAGTTCTATGATCGTATTGACAAAGTGAAATATGATCTGTGCTTTTCATAATTTTCAGTAACTCATGGTGAGCATCAAACATTTAAAATCATTTGAAATGTGTGAAACCTAAGGCAAGCAATAGGAACTTCCTCAAATGTATTGCCATATTTTAAATGTACCGATTTAAACGACAAAGAATTTTTAAAATAAATATTAATAATAAGATATGTTTAGTTCAGTTATTAAAAATTGCTTTTAACTCGTTGTTTTTGTTAACAAACTACTTTATTTAGCCTTTTCAATCATAGATACTTATCCTATTAAGCTAATTTTCTGTTGCGAGTATTTTCTCAAAATTGTCCCAGTTTGAGAAAAAAAATATTATGGTAAGCCTAAATAATGTGTAATAAAAACTATATCACAGTTGTAGAAATTCTGATTAATTTATTATAAAACAGATATTTTTTGGTAATTGTTAATTGTCTTTATTAAGTTGAATGTATTTTAAATAAAAACATGTTTATCCTTAGCAAATGCATTTTAATAATTTGTTCATTTTATCTGATGTATTTTTTATATTTTTTGTACTCTTATAGTAAATGTATAATATAACAAAATTTATTATTGTAGAATGTCTAAATATGAAAGTTTCTACTAAAATTGTTAATTTTGCACATCTTTTTCTATTTATTTTTAATCAGAACACTGACTCTTCATATATGTCATCATTAATATGAATTATTCTTTGTTTTAATACTGTGTTTTCCATTTCAGTAAATAAAAGACAATTTAAAACTTTTAACTAAACATATATATATATATTATATAGGGAGATATTGGTGAACCTGGTTATGCCATTTATAAAGGACCTCCAGGAAAAGTAGGTCTTCCTGGATTTAAGGGTGAAAAAGGAAATCTTGGACTCATTGGTCGACAAGGATATGCTGGTGAACCAGGGCCTGATGGTCCAGATGGAGCACCTGGTAAATGTTTAAACTTTGATCTAGTGATTTAAAATAGATACACTTATTCTCTGTTAAAACTTTACTATTAATGTTAATGGAAATTTAGATCCAATAGGTTATTTTGGTCCAGTATTGGATCTACAATTAGATCTGGTTGGATCTCTTATTTAAAATTCAAACCAATAAATCCAAGAAAACATGATGAGAAAATCAAACAAGATATGGAATTTAAGTTAGTGACAAAGCAGTTAANATTTTGGGGGTCTCCAGAACGAATTAATTAAATTTCCATTAAAACCTACGGTAAATCGATAATTGGTTAACGAACAATTCGGATAGTGAACAAAGTCTTGGAACGGATTATGTTCGTTAACCGATCACCCACTGTATTTCAAATTGTAGCATTGCATCATCTTATTTTCATTGTTTTCAATGAATTACATTTGTTGTTTTTTTTTTTAGAGCTGTTCTCTTTAACTCATTCAATCTTTCAAGATTGAATGAGTTAAAGTTCTCAATTCTTAGAAATATTTGATTCAACTCTGATAATTCCAACAAAGACTAATATTTAAGACCCATGTCTGTATACCCCTTTGTCATGTGACCTTTGTTTCTCCAGCAAAGTTCAACATTATTCTTGGGATATAGTTTGTCATGCACTTTAGTAACTGTTATATCTTAAGACAATTTTTACTTATCTGTCCACAACAAATGGAATCTTAAATTTTCTGCTTTATTCAAGTTATGTTTTTCATACCAAAAAACGTCTTTGTCTCTGTGTTGGACAGGTTTTTGACATATCGTAAAATTTAACATAGAAAAATCACTTTGTTTTAAAGAATTTTTTTCTATTTAGGGAGACTTATTTTATTCAGGTTCCATTTTAGATGGGTTTTTACTGTATTGTGTTTTAAAAATATTATGCAGATTTTTTAAACATAAATTAGCAATAAACTTACAACATTAAAGTTGTTAAAAACATAACCACAACTGGATGTTGTTGCTAGAGCAATCGATTAAAACATTAATCAAAAGGAGCAAAATTAAAATGAAAATTGTTTATTGCACAAAGAAACTGTTAATTATACAATGTTTTGCAGAATAGCATTATGTTTATTAGCATATAACATTGAATGTCATATACTTGAAAACAAGGATTTTTATACTTATTAGGATATGAGCATGCTAAAATTAAAACAAATACTTAGAAATGGTTATTAAAAAAATTTATTTATTGATATTTTTGTTTTAAGTTCATAGAATTTGCTTATTATATAAGTAAAAAGTTGATATATATAGAATTTATAAAATTAAAAAGAAAGGATATAAATTTAACTGATCAAATTATTTCATGAAGAATTATTATTTTGGTTCAGAACTTTCTACACAATAAACTACTAAAGATTAGCTCATCTGAATTTGCATTATTGTTATATTGTAAATAAAAAATCACTTGTTATATTATTTTAAAGATCCTTTATTTGTCCTTTTATTTTATCCTATTTTAAAATTGTTCTGTGTTATAAAACTTATTCTTACTAATATTTATTTGTATCTAAGAGTCATATTCATCTCTTAGAACAACCATTTCTGGTGCAAGGCTTTTGATATCCTGAGGTCAAAACATAGTTTAGATTCCATGTAAAAATGTGAATTCCCATTCTGATATATCTGTCAATATTCAAAATTGTGTAAATAAACAAACCCATAGTATAATGATTTTCACAGGTACGTGGGCTACATTCACATGCTATTCTGTATTCATACCATTATACAAAGGTCTGTCCACATCTTTTGATCCTTGCATGATAGGAAGAATTGAAAGTGATTTTTGAATCAGGATGATTTCTTTTCTATGAAAATCACCTATTTTAATGCCAGAGATGTAAAATTTTTATTGGGTAATGTAATTATAATTTGAAAAACATTGCAATCAGAATTATATAAAGTAATATAACTTAAATGATTTTTATGATTTTGAATATTAGATAATTATATATTAAAATGCTTTTAATGTGGAAAGTTTTAAATCATATGTGCATATTAACGTTATAATGCTTTTGCTGATTAAATACAGTAATAGTAATTAATTTAATAAATAAGATAGTATGAAAATATTTTGTCAATTAATATATCCATTTTAAATTTTACAAAAAACAATTTTAATTGTTTATTTCCAAGGTCCACCAGGATTGGCAGGACTTCCTGGCTATAAAGGTATTAAAGGTGAAAGAGGTAGTTCTGCACCTGGAACTATTGGACCACCTGGATTTCCGGGTCCTCCTGGCCTTAATGGTAAGATAAATCCATATATATTAAATATAATATGAATATGAATTTTTCTAAACTAATTATGTAACATATATTTTAAAGGAATTCCTGGAGATAAAGGTTCTCCTGGTGAATCAGGATTTCCTGGATTGTATGGCTTTAAAGGTGTTAAAGGTGAACGAGGTGAATTTGGTTTTCCAGGAATTCCAGGAAAACAAGGTCCTCTGGGAAGTCCAGGAAAACCAGGAATAATTGGATTACCTGGAATGCCGGGTAAGTTATTACTTATATATTGTTGTGCTCCGCCACTTATTGGTGGTTATTAGTGAAGTGAACTGTATGTATATATTATTTATGTATATATTAGGTCAGTCCATAAGTTTGTGTGCATTTTATGACTTTGAGAAAAATCTTGTTTTTCTGTTAAAAATGCCAGTCTGATGTGATACTTTTTACACTGAAGTGTTAAATTGGATCTCATTCATATAATACTGTTCAGAATTGGGAACATTTCAGTTGTTTATTTTCGTTAAAATGGAAGTAACAGATGAATATAAGAGACATGTTTTATACTTTTTATTTTTAAGTGGTGAGAATGCTACAAATGCAGCCAAAAAATTAAATACTGCTTATAATCAAACTGTAACAAGTGTAAGGACTGCGCAGAAGTGGTTTGAAAGATTTAGAAATAATGATTTTAGTGTGGAGGATAAGGCTCGTACTGGAAGACCCGTTGACTTTGATGATGATGCTCTCTCTGCACTAGTTGAAGCAGAACCATCTTTAACAGTTGATGAAATTGCGGAACGTTTAAATTCATCCCATGGAACTGTTCATAGACATCTACAACAAATCGGAAAAGTTTCAAAGCTAGGAAAATGGATACCACATGAACTGTCAATAGCTAACTGACAACAACGTCAACTGCTCAACTCAAAAGCTTCAACTGGGAAATTTTACCTCATCCACCATATTTGCCAGATATTGCTCCCAGTGATTATCATCTTTTTCGGAGTTTGCAGAATTTTTTAAAAGGAAAAACTTTTGAGGATGAGAACAATGTAAAAAAGGCTATTTCTGAATATTTTGATTCAAAACTGAAATCATTTTACAAAGACGGGATTAAAAAGCTACCATCAAGATGGCAAGAAATTGTACAAAATAATGGTGAATACATTATAGATTGAAATAAAATTTAGTTAAAATATTTTGTTGCTTTTTTTTGTAGATAAAAATGCGCACGAACTTATGGACTGACCTGATAATTATCCTTTGTACTTAGTTTGCATTAGTTTTATTATGTTCATTATTGTATTGGGTTTTCTTTTTTTTTTTTTCTTTGTTTGTTTTGTCGTTTGTGTTCGACACGTGTCCTCACTTCGTACCTCCTTTTCGTGGTGTGTGTAGACAGACCTATTGATTGGTTACCCAAGAGGTCACATGGGGGCAGCAAGAATGTGTATAAATAGCAGGTCCAGGTGTGAAAGAGACCTTTTTTGTGTAGTCCCCTTCATGAGTCTAGTCAGGATTGGCACCATCGAGGGATATTGGGAAAGTACTGTTGTAAGAAGTGAAGACCCGTTCGGCCATCGGAGAAGGGTAAGGGAATAGAATCCAATTCCATCTGTGGTGTACGAGAAAATAATGGAGTGAATAGAATCAATAAGGAAGTTAGAGCACCTGAGGTATCGTCACAAACAATTATTTTGTCTCCACATGAGTTAGCTGTCGGTCAGAGATTATTGTTTAAGTACTGGATTTCCGTGAGTAGGTTGTTCTCATTGTAACTTCCACGTTAATGTAAAACTAGTGCAAACCTTGTTACGCGTTAAGGAAGGAAGAAGGAGACTGAAGATACAAGTGTTATTTGTAATTGGAACACATGACTGTGTAAAGGAGTTTTTCTGAGGAGTTCACATGAACCCTCAGTTTGATGAGCACGTAATTGTTATAAATAAAGGTATATCTGTAAGCCGACTGTTTGTTTGTTGTAGACTTGTAGACCTCGGTCTAGTTTAAGATCAAATCACTATGTTATCTGATATTATTTTCTATCAGTAAAGTTAAAAGAATTGCTTTTGACCAGATTTTATTCAATTTATGATAATTTCATATGTTACAATAATTTTTTCTATACATTAAATAATTTAATTACCTTTTATAATAAAAATTCTTTACCCATTTATCATATATATAAATACAGTAATTTCTGTAACACTCCTTGGATCTAATAAACTATTGCATAGATCTTTACAGTTTACACATTTACAGCACCATCATCTTAAATTATTTACTGTATACAATTTACTATTTTGGGTTACTTTTTATTAATTTGTTCCCAAAAAAAGATTTATAAAAAATGATAACCTTTACTTCTCTTGCTCTTCACTAGAGACAGCACCATCATCTTAAATTATTTACTGTATACAATTTACTATTTTGGGTTACTTTTTATTAATTTGTTCCCAAAAAAAGATTTATAAAAAATGATAACCTTTACTTCTCTTGCTCTTCACTAGAGACAGCACCATCATCTTAAATTATTCTGTCTTTCACAATAATATATTCTTAGAAATTTTATGATTTACTTTTAATGCCATATCTGGGGTGTGATTTTATTAATTAGTTCATAGCCATAACAAAAGAATTTTAACATGTTAAAATTACATATGAAAAATTCATGCAGTTCTTGAAATGATTTGGCAAAGCTGTCACTTTCTACATTGAATGCAAAATTACTAAATAATATGGTTGGAGAGCTGCCATTGTAATCACTTTTCATTCTCATTCTAGAGACAACTGCTCCCAATAGGGTGGTGTTCCAATTGTTCAATAGGCAAAGTTGGCAAGAGTTGTGATAGCATGTGTGCATTTTTAAGTGTTTTTATGGGTTTTTTTTTTTTAGTTATTTCAGTTTTATTTTTGGTGTTTTTTTTGTAATATGCCATTGTTGGATTCAGCTTTAGGTTGTCTGTTTTCAAAGAGATACAGCAATTTCAATTTTTAAAAGGGAAACACATGGCAAAAGTTAACTGGGTTTTATGAAGAAGAGATGTATGAGTTTGGAATCAGTGAATTTCTTGGATAGACATTTACTATGCCTGCAACATGCTTTGTTCCTGTCTGCAAAAGCAGTTATAAAAGCAACACAAGAGTAAGAGTGAAGAGAACTATTTTTTAAACTAGGCAAAAAATTCTTTGAGTCCTGGAAAAGGAAAATTCCTAGAAAAGATAGGGAACTAAGTCAGAATTCTAAGATCTGCAATGTACTGTAAATTTCAAATAAAGGTTCATAATAAAAACTTTAAGGATCATATAAAAGGACAACTAGTGGAAATAGAACAAGAGAAACAGACCTTAACTTCCAATGTATTGATATATCCAACAATATTTCCCAACTCCCCCCCAAATATTTGACAAGGGAAGTTCCAAAAGAAAGGAATTCACAATCAAAAAGGAGATATGTTTATTTTAAAATAGAACACTAAATGGGACAAATTTCTTGTTGATTTACACTAAATTTATATTTACAAATATTATAATTCATAATCATAAAAAAAATTTTGGATAATTTTATGTAAATATTGCTAATAAAGCTACTGTTAGGGGCCACAAAAAAATACTAAACTCAAAAGTGGCCAAAGGTCAAAAAAGATTGAGAAACACTGCTTGATATCATATTTGAAAAAATATTTTAATCAAATTATCAAAAGTTTTGAGAAAGGTTTGATGAATACAAGTAAGTTAATTTTAATATTGCTTTTAATTTCTGTTATATAATTTTGTCCATTTATTTTTTATTTTACTCTTAGTTGAAAAGTTGGCTTAGATATGTTTATTGGAGGATCACTGGAAATAAATAACACTAATTCATTCACAATATGAAATGAATGGGTCTTTTGTATCTGCCTAATATGTAAATAACAAGATATCCTGTAATGTTTTATAATGGCAACATCTTGAGATAATAAAGTAAAATGATTTCAGAGCTGTTTATTGATGCAATGAAAAACTTGTCACAAATTATATGCTGTGGTCTGTAATCTACATAATTATTTTAACTTGTAATTTAAATTACAGACAGGAAATTATAGTAATTAGTGATGTAACGAATATTCGGTTACTATTCGGTATTCGGCCTATTCAGCCTATTTTTCGCTATTCGGCCGAATACCGAATATTTAATCACTATTTGTCCGAATACCGAATACCTAAAAACAGGAGTAAGAAATAACAAAAACACAATAAATTAATCATTTTGGTATTTAGATTTAATGTTGTCAGGTTAGTGTTGTTTGTTTATATTTATTTATAACTTATAACATGCACAAAATAAAAAATAATAATAATATTAGTCACATGTATTCACAATTTATAATTAGAAAGATCAGCACACGTACACACCTATTCGTTTGAGAATTGTCACACACATGTGAGGGTCTGACCCTGCCTATCCTTTTTAAGCACTCGTCTTTGCTCTTTCCTTTCTCTTTCCTCCATCTCTCTAGTCCACGTATGCCTATGCATACATCATAATAAGTGCTCACGATACTTTCGATTTGTCACTTTTCCGTCATAGTTTTTCCATTTTATAATTACATGACTCATAGCCTGGTGATAACGGAGAAAAGAGACAGATAGGACGTCGATATATGTCACAGTTATGATTTCACAGATTCGAGACAGCTTGGTAGCCTGAATGGTACCAGATTTTCGCCTGTGCATGCTAAGTGACTTTCGTTACAAGCATTTAGCTTTCCGAAGTCTATGACAACAATCACTTGGCACTGACAGCCGCAAATTTCACACCAATAAGCTGCTTCGACTTGTTTGATTATGTTATCAACTCAATTTCATATTTATTTTCACGTTTTCACTTCACAGTCTTTCTCTGTTCTTTTTCCGTTATTTACACGTGTAGGTCATTTCATTGTTATTCACATTTGATATCATCATTTATCGCATACTGCCATGATGGTCTTGTCTGTCCACTACAACTGTCAAGAATTAGCATGATTGGCAAAGCATAGTGATAGCGGGCCAATAGAGAGCAGGGTCCTTGCCATAATACGGTTTGCGCGCCAATTTTCATAAGTGTGTTAATCAAGCCGAATAGTTTGGCCGAATATTTGGCTATTCGGCCACGCTCCTGGCCGAATATTTGGTATTTGACCTCAGACCGAATATACTATTCATTGCAACACTAATAGTAATATGTTTGCAAGTAATATATGCATATTACTGCAAAATAAATTGCTTATTACTATTAGTGCATATATATGCACTAATAGTAATAGCAATTTATTTTGAATAACTTTATATGTTAAGAGATGATCTTAATTATAAAAGGATGACTATCTGATAAAAATTATTACTATTTAAATGTTTAATAATTAATATTTTTAAATATATAAATAGTTTATTGAAATGATTAAATATCAGTTTATATAATTCATATGTATGAAAAAATTATTATTATTTAATGTTATTTTCAGGTATGAAAGGTGAAATGGGGGATATGGGTCCTCTTGGAAGAGATGGAATTCCTGGAAGAAATGGATTAGATGGATTACCTGGTAGAAAAGGTAAAAATTATTTTATGTATTTATAAAAGTTTTTAAACTTAAATATTTATTCAAATTTATTGTTTGATATTTAAATATTTTATAATTTTACAGGTGAAGTTGGTGATAAAGGTTTTCCAGGTTTTCCAGGAAAAAAAGGTTCTTCTGGTTTACCTGGTGAACGTGGAACACCTGGACTACCAGGACTTGTGGGTTTAAAAGGTGATGCTGCAATATTTGGTGGACATGGAGATGCTGGAGATGAAGGGCTACCTGGTGTGTAATTTTACAAATTAAAAAATTTTATTAAAATTTAGTCATAGTAAATTTAAGAAGCTGAAATGTTATTTTATTAGGACTTGCGGGAAGTACCGGAAGGCCAGGACTTATAGGATTACCTGGTATAAAAGGTGAAAGAGGTGTACCAGGTTTATCAATAATTGGAGAACCAGGTGCACCAGGTCTGTTGGGTCCACAAGGGTATCCAGGAATTCCCGGATCTTCTGGACTAAAGGGAGCAAGTGGTATGATGGGTATTCCAGGTAAGAAAATGTTAATTATCAAATAATACATTTTATAATCATTAGTTTTAATGAAATTATTCTCAATTTTCTTATATCTATCTAATTTTTTATAATTGTATTTTTAGCATTAAATAATCTTATGTATTATATTAAAAAAAACTGTTGTGAATAATAAAAATAGTTTTCACCAAATTCATTTATACCCAAAAAAGTAAGATTTAAATTTCAGTTAGTTAAAATGTAACATCTGCCTTGAGTCAGTTCTGTTGTACAGAGAGTCCCCATTACATATATTTATCAATTCTTCAGAGATGCTAGTATCTCAAGATATTATGCGACATTGAAATTTGTTGTTTGGTCTTTGTAAAAATTGACTGTGAAGTCATTCATCCAATTTTCATTTTTAACATCACTGGATTATATCTTATTCTTGTTCACTTGCACTGCTTTTTTTTATAGCTGTCTCTATTGATAAGGTCTGTGGCCTAATAGCAAAAATCTGTAAATTTTTGTCTTTCTGCTGGGCATGTGTGAAATTTTTGACATGAATACATCTTTAAATTTGCTTCCATAGTGGGAAGCAATTCAGAAAACTGATGATAACGAAATTGGGGGATACAGTTTGGCATTACAGCTACATATCTATCATCTACATCCAAAATTTAATTATACCATTCAATAGTTAAAGGATCAAAGAATTCATTACATTGAGTGGGGATTGTGATGCATCACGCGTGGTGGAGGGGGAAGCGCTGCCATTTGTTTTGCCACATCACATACTTTCCGTTTAGTATACATTTTGACTTGGAGAAGTTATAACGGTAGTTTGAGTTTCAATTTACAGCTCTCATCAATATTTATCGATTGCGTACACAAAACATTAGTGTGGAATAGTTATGGTCAATATATATGGTGTTAAAGTTAAAAATTAAGAAAACTTAATAGTGTCGCCCTATACTCGTTGAAAAGCCAAATCAAAATATAGAAATCGTATACGGTTAGAAACAGCTTCTTAAGAGCAATCCAGTGATACCCATAAAACACCATATGATAGAGTGAAGCGCTGCCGGGAACATAAAAATATTATCCATTAACGTACACGTATTCACGTAAAACACATGGCCATGTCCTCAACACAGTCATACCCCACTTTTTTTTCAGTCAGAAACTATATGATTTCTGTTCAAATTACTGCACCATTAACTTTTAAATGTTTGATGATGATCTACCATTTTTAACTCATTCATGCATAATCTCTGGAATTCCCTTTTTACATTTTGATACATTTAAACATTGTTATATGTTCCAAGTAGTTAATTTTTCTATCTCATCTAAAGTATCAAAGAATTTGCCTATGCATTGTCCTGATTCTCCAAAAATGCCAGAATTAAACCTCCATAAGTTGAAAATGATCCACCACATTATTATGAGAACATATTTGAGAAGGCAGTTTCTCTCTTGCCTCCATACCTGAAGTTTGAGTAATTAGAACTTACATTAGGTGAATGCATAAATCCTCTTTTTCAAACTGTCTAGCCCATTCTGACACCAGTTGCAAAGAATAACAGTTACACATGTGAAGATTACCAGTTGTGCATCTCAAGTAGTTGGTTACAATCCAAAACAATCATCAGGATCCTGACACTGGTCAGTTGTATGTTTGACAATGTCTATAGTCATATATGTGAAACTGTGAGGATTATGTGGGAAAGAGAATGGAAGTAGCAATATTTTATATTATAAAGAGAGAGCACATAGGATAGTATCACACATGTACAATAATTTAGTTTTATGGTTGGTAAATTTTACATACTTGTTGATAGAGAGAGAAAGAGAGAATGCTAGTTCATACAAAGAAACAAAAACTGACAACAAAAAATGGATGAGAACTGTCTCTGGAGTTTCCCATCAGTTTTATTTGTCTTTTAGATAATCAAATAATTGGGTCAGAGATCTGAAAAGCCCACTTACCAATCAGTGTAATAAAGTTTGCACCAATTGCTTAAAGCCCATGAAAGTGTACTAAAGGTTAAGTAAAAGTTCAGATAATCACATTTTTTATAGTAATAAAGGGTTTTAGTTTTGCATCTTTTCTCCTTTTACAACTGTTTGAAAAGTATAAAGTTTCTAATCCTATGAGTACTGTCTCATAGTCTATTGTTTATAAGAAATGGCATCTGAAACTGGGTAATTAAAATTTTTTTCCTACACATATTTAGTTTTGAATCACCTGGATATTCTTTCATCTAACACAAAAAATTAGCAGATAAGTAAAGTGGAAATTATTTATTTATTAGACAATTTTTATAAATTATTATAATTAACAATAGTGGAAATTAGTAATAAAACATTGATTATTTGGGCAAAAGCAACTTATTCAATTATTCCAATTTTCTAAAAATATAAATTTTTGATGTAACGTTGGTATTTGTTTAGGTATACAAATATGAGAATAACTTCACAGGGTTTTATAAATTCATTGAAGATTTATATGTTCTGTTAACTTAAAATTTTCTAATAATAATACAGTGCAATTTTATTACTGTAATAAATTGTATTATATTACTGTAATAAAATATGGAATTGTGCAAACATATAATTTCTTATTTCAGAAAGGGAATGAGTTACAGAAAAATTTCAGAAATTGTTAGGAGTTATTCAAATTCAAAAATATTTAAACTTCTCATATTAAATTAGGTTTGGAAGGTCAGAAAGGAAATAGAGGAGACATTGGACCATCTGGTGTTCCAGGATTACAGGGATTACCAGGTATGGTGGGATTAAAGGGCGACTCTGGACCACCTGGATTTTATGGATTAATAGGAATGAGGGTAAAACTTTATATATTTTGTAAAAATTTATTTTTAGAATAATTTCAAACAGAAAAATTGTTAATATCTTTCTAAAGATTATATTTGATTTGGTTAACAATGAACTTTAGAAGTTTAAAGACATTTCTGAAAAAATTTATCTCCTAAATAAGTTCATTATTCAAAATGGACTTATTTAAAAAACAAATTTTTTATTTTCAAAGCAATTATCAAATAATTTCACTCTAGAATGAATGATTTTTGTTGTTTGTTCAACAAAAGTGATAACTTAATGTACTTTCTCACCACACCAGGTTGTATATGCTCCAAATACACAACGATCTACAATTAACCAATAACTGGTGTGAAATTCTTCAAAAAAATCTGCAAACGTTTTCGATTCCCCTCCTGGGCTCTTCTTCAGGCTTATTTTATATCTTCCATTATAACTGGATTCTTTAATTCAAATGTTTTTTTTTTAAATTTGAAACATGCCCTTTTCCAAAAACATTCTGAAAGTGGAAGGAATTCACATGCTATTTCAAATATAATTTTCTACCAATGAGGATTTGTTATGTTCAATACCTCATTTAAATTTATCTTATAAAATATATTATGATTTATCGTCAAGTAAAAATTGCCATGCTGTAGAGAGATTCATTTCTTCTTTGAAATTAATGCATGTGGATTTGTGATTGGCTTTAAAGATTTCCATTGCTTCCAAAGTTCTTAGTTGCCCATGATGTTGGGTGGTGCAGATAACACGCTTCGTCGAAGATAGGTGTGATGCCTGGGTTTGTTGCATACGTAGATAAAGCTGTCATACATTTATTATGTGTGATGTCAGATTTATGCTCTTTTAATCTTGTGGCCAATGAACGTTTGGTGGATCCGATATACACCAAAGGCCTATCCCATCTGTTATCTTTTAATAGAATATTGTATATTCCTGGAAGTCTGTTTGGGTCAGAATTGTCCTTCCCGTTCCTTAATAAACTGTAAATGGATGGGTTTCTTTTGTATGCAATCTTAATTCCCCTTACTTTTGCAATTTTTTCGTACATTGCCTTTAGATGCTGGTTATATGTTATTGGTACCCACTCTATGTTATCTTCATTTCTAGTATTTTGTACCTCTACCTTTTCTTCTATAAGATTCTGTAAACGCCGGTGCTGCTTACACAATCTATTTATAATGTTGCCATAACCGTGCTCTTTAGTGATCTTCCTAATGTAATTTACTTCTCGTTGGAGGGCTTGGGTGGTGGAAGAATGCATATAGGCTCTTTCTACTAATGCTCTAAATGCCGCTATCTTATAAGAAAATGGGTCACAAGATTTATATGGTATATACGTCGATACCGCTGTAGGTTTTCTATAAACATAAGTTCATACCGCCCTTTCTTTAATATCTATGACTATATCCAAGAAGTGGATTTTATCCTTACTATGTTGTTCAAGTTCCACTAGGAGACCATATGGGTTGTTGTTCGTTGTTTCCTTAAAATGTTCTAGATCCGGCTCAGTTTTCCGAAGGATAATTATATCATCGATATACCTTCCATATAGGATAATATTTGGGAGAAAGGAGGGAAGGACTTTGCTTTCTAATACTCTGATCATCATTTCGCATAAATCTCCAGACAACGGACTTCCCATTGGCACAACTCTTCCCTGTGCGTATATAGTGCTCTTGAATTCGAATATGGAATTGTAACAAGCCAGATGTGCTAACTCAAGTACATTGTGATGCAATGTGGTATCCTCTATGTTAGAAAGAAGGAAGTTTCTGAGCACACAAAAACATGGTATAAGGATCTAAAATCCAATACTGTTGCGCAATTGGGAGTGTCTATCTTCTTAAATTCTTTTAAAAGTCGGAAATCTTGAACTGGTAGTCTTTTAAGTGCGTGGATAGCATGTTATGTAATAACTTTTCCAACTTAAGTGTGGGAGCCCTCCTTTTGTCTACTATAGGTCTGAGTTACTGCCCTTGCTTATGTGTCTTTGCAAAAGCAAACAGTTTCGGCACATCCGAGACATCAATAATTATGTTCCTCATACCTATGTTCCTGGCTAGTTTTGTATTAGCAAATCACTTAATTCTTGCTTGCATCTTATCTACCCAGCTTGTTTCCATTTCAGAACACTGAGTTAATGAGAGGTATTCAATTAATCCTTTCTCATATGTCTCTCTTTTCATTAACACCATTACTTTGGCTTTATCCGCTCTGGTCAATACAATGTGATTACTCTTTATACATTTGGAAGCTCTATTCAATATATATTTCAGCTGTACAACCTCCTTAGATTTTAGCTGAACTAGTGGAACTTGAACAAGAATGAGTTACAGAAAAATTTCAGAAATTGTTAGGAGTTATTCAAATTCAAAAATATTTAAACTTCTCATATTAAATTAGGTTTGGAAGGTCAGAAAGGAAATAGAGGAGACATTGGACCATCTGGTGTTCCAGGATTACAGGGATTACCAGGTATGGTGGGATTAAAGGGCGACTCTGGACCACCTGGATTTTATGGATTAATAGGAATGAGGGTAAAACTTTATATATTTTGTAAAAATTTATTTTTAGAATAATTTCAAACAGAAAAATTGTTAATATCTTTCTAAAGATTATATTTGATTTGGTTAACAATGAACTTTAGAAGTTTAAAGATGAAAACAATGTAAAAAAGGCTATTTCTGAATATTTTGATTCAAAACTGAAATCATTTTACAAAGACGGGATTAAAAAGCTACCATCAAGATGAAGGACAATTCTGACCCAAACAGACTTCCAGGAATATACAATATTCTATTAAAAGATAACAGATGGGATAGGCCTTTGGTGTATATCGGATCCACCAAACGTTCATTGGCCACAAGATTAAAAGAGCATAAATCTGACATCACACATAATAAATGTATGACAGCTTTATCTACGTATGCAACAAACCCAGGCATCACACCTATCTTCGACGAAGCGTGTTATCTGCACCACCCAACATCATGGGCAACTAAGAACTTTGGAAGCAATGGAAATCTTTAAAGCCAATCACAAATCCACATGCATTAATTTCAAAGAAGAAATGAATCTCTCTACAGCATGGCAATTTTTACTTGACGATAAATCATAATATATTTTATAAGATAAATTTAAATGAGGTATTGAACATAACAAATCCTCATTGGTAGAAAATTATATTTGAAATAGCATGTGAATTCCTTCCACTTTCAGAATGTTTTTGGAAAAGGGCATGTTTCAAATTTAAAAAAAAAACATTTGAATTAAAGAATCCAGTTATAATGGAAGATATAAAATAAGCCTGAAGAAGAGCCCAGGAGGGGAATCGAAAACGTTTGCAGATTTTTTTGAAGAATTTCACACCAGTTATTGGTTAATTGTAGATCGTTGTGTATTTGGAAAAGTGATAACTTAAAGACATGCAAGGAATACCAAAAATAGATTTATTATGAAAATGTTTAATTGTAGCATTTTCTTAATAAATATATGAAAATATATTTTAACAGCTCAAGATGAAAGATGTTTATTTTGACAAAGCCACTTTACATAAATAAACAATTTTAACCAAAATAACATAAAAAGTAATTAAGATAACAAAAAAGTATAACTCATAAGTATAATAAATCATCATAAACAGATTAAAGCAAATTTTTTATGACAGAGCAGTCCAAGAAAAGTCCTCTCTAGAAGTGATTTAAATCTAGAATGCCTCAAATGCTCCAAATGTTCAGAGTCCAAATGTTGGCTCTCAATTGGCCAAAGCCTAGAAGTTAGAAAGTGTCCAAATGGATAGGAAGTTTTATTTCAGTATGAAACACTGTTTAGAATCTAACAATTTTTTTAGATTTAAACTTTATTCAGATATATTATACAATACGTTAATATACCTGAATAAATTGAATTGAATAAATAAATTGTATATGCTATTGTTCTATTTCTTATATTACAGAAAACAAAAATCACATAAACATAATTTCAAGAATAAAAAGTTTCAGAACAAACAGTTATTTCTTCTTGAGAATAATGTTTATTTGATATTGTGTATATTTATAAAATACAATTTTAGATTCTTATTTATAAGACTTAAGACTAAATAGTATCAAGAACATTAATTTATAACATTGTTTTGTATCTTATCAATCTATAAATGTGATAACTCACATTTATAGATTGATAAGTTTATTTTAATTTAATTTAGACATTCTCACATCATCTTGAATAAATTAAAGATGATGTGAGAATGTCTAAATTTCCATATTCATTTTTACTAGTTTAGTGGAAAAGATAAAATTCATTTACCCTAATTTCAGATTATTTAATTATAGGGAGATCCTGGAGATATTGGACTTCCTGGATTGCCTGGAGAAAGAGGAGATCCAGGTTTTGCGGGATCATCGGGTAGAGATGGATTTCCAGGCTTACCAGGGGACAAAGGAGAGCCAGGTCTTAAAGGTAGAGACTTTTTATTTATTATTTCTACTCATCAACAAGATTAGTTATATGATAATTATGATGATGTTGGAATGCATTGCATATAGATTGGTGCGTAGTGCTAAGCCAGAGCAAAGTTGTTAATGTGAGATCCGAAAGGCCCTGGGTCTAATTTGTGAATTTTTATTAAATATGTTTAAATATAGACACGAAATATTACTTCGTTTTTGTGGAAAAAAATATTGTTTTAGACGTGGGAAAAACCAGATAACAAATGTTATTTCCTTTCATCGAAGAGAACATCCTCTGTTTTTCCGTATCTGGTTAAAAATCTCGCTCAGATGGGAAATGGTTACCCCTCATTCATCCCCCTTTCGTCCGTTCTCACGAAAGAGTTACTGGCCGATGATTGGTCGAAATTCAGGAGATATAAGGGAAATTAGTCCAACTTCGAGGAGTTCTTCGACAGATCCGAAGCATCTAAACTCCACGCAGTTTTCCTCCTGATGGCCAACGCCCATAGCGGAGTCCGATAGATTAAGTCCCGAGTCTACTCTTAGAAGAAGTGATATTTTTATATTTTGTGTACGAATTGATCTCCCGTACGAAAGTAATATGAACTCTATCTACAAGGTGTCCTTTACCTACAGAAACGAAGACGACGACAACTAAACAGGTCGTATGTTTAGAATAATTTTGTGAGCTCTCTCTCTCGAACGCGCATTAGCATAGAATAAGTCGTACCCTTTAGCTTGTCGTTTACTTGTTGTTATCGATTATGTGTATTCGTTTGTTTGGATTTATTAAATTTACTCTTGTTTTATTTTATAAGAATGTCTCCTCAATTTATTCCGAACAGATCGCAAACGCGTGTTAATCCGCGTATAATAAGTTTGATTAACTGGTGTCAAGGAATCCTGACGAACGTCTGAACTTCTCGTTCAGATCATTTTAAAATACGCTCTCCTATGTAAACTTTTTACGATCGGATCTTACGATTCGAAACTCGGAGAACTATTCTCACGGAATAGGCCGATTAAGTGGTACTAACGAATTAGTGTACCCCCGGCTGATCTCACATTAACTACAGAAAACAAATATTTTGTTTATGTGTTGTTTACATATGTATATGTGTTTAAGAATTTCCTGAATGTGTGACATGTGTTTAGTTTGTCAGCCTTTTGTAGAGAGATGTATATGTTGTTGTGAAGCTCTAATATTTCAAGTCTGTTGAGTAATGTATGTAGTATTGTGCAAGAAAGTATTACTGTACTGACTACTGGCACAATACATACCTCATCCATTTTGCATAGATGCTTTATTTTGTGGGAAATTTCTGAATACTAATTTTTATTTGATATTGTGTATATTTATAAAATACAATTTTAGATTCTTATTGGATTTTAGATCCTTATACCATGTTTTTGTGTGCTCAGAAACTTCCTTCTTTCTAACATAGAGGATACCACATTGCACCACAATGTACTCGGGTTAGCGCATCTGGCTTGTTACAATTCCGTATTCCAATTGAAGAGCACTATATACGTGCAGGGAAGAGGTGTGCCAATGGGAACTCAGTTGTCTGGAGATTTATGTGATCTGGTGATCAGAGTATTAGAAAGCAAAATCCTTCTGTGTATGTATTATGTATGTTGTGGGTGTTTGGCATAACTATGTCTATGATGTAAGTTAATGGTGTACCCACCTAGTGAATTTTCCTTGTTGGAGACTAATTTAATAGAGACAAAATATTGAAACATTGGTTAATCACTCACAGTAGTATAGGGATTGTAAATTCATGATTTAAAATTCAAACATAATAAGAAAATAAAGTTTTTACAATAATAGGAAAATAACGCTCACAGTCACAGCTTCTCGGGGAGGTAAGAGTAAGCAAGTAGATTACTACGAGTAAATGTGTAGAGTAACTTAATCAAGTTACAGTGTAGCTGTACACTATATTTGTGTACATATTAATTTAGTTTAGTTTAGTCTCTTCTTTCTACCCTTTGTCCTATTGTTCTATTTCCTTCTAGAACTTTCCTATCTTAATCCCTGTCCCTTGGGTGGGATGACCAGTTCTGAGAAATGGAGGAACAAAGTGAGTAGGACCCTGAGGACACACAAGGGACAAGGCATTCTCTTGCGGAACTGCAAAGTGTATGGATGTGAAGAGAGAACGCTCTGAGTTGCGTTAGCAACGACCAGAGATCCTGGAATTATATTAAGAGAAGGGTTCCTGTTTTAAGGGAGAATCGACGACAGTGAAAGAAAAAATCTTAAGTATAGAAGAAGAAGACGAGTCAAATTTTTGGAGAATATCATGTGGTATCCCACCCAACAGCATGCATAGTGCAAGTACGCCAACAAAATCCTGGGTATTCCTGTTTCTATTGTACATATTCTTTCTTCATCCTCTTGTTTCTATCCTTTTCTTCTATTATTGTTAAGTTAGTGTATAAGATTAGTTTTAAGATTGGACTTCATATTATTGCGATCGAAATTGGTACCGCACATTTGGATCTAACAAACTATTGTCCTAGCGGTAAATTCGCATACAATTGTAATGTATCGTGATGTTGGAATTCCCAATGAAGAATCTGTATATGTACGCAAAATTGTTTAATTGTAAAAATATATCATTTATTATTTTTACCATATCCTGTCTGCCTTTGTGATCATTTTAATTTCACGTGAACTTTCACAACAGCAGTGATTAAATAAACAATTAAATTTCCACAAAAAGATTTCTAAGAGACTTTTAGGCAAGCATAAAACATTTTAGAAAAAATATTTAGGGCTTTTTAATACACTGTAGATCTTTATTTTGGTATTCTTTTCATAAAATACAAATTATTTTTTTAAAGTTTGCAATAAGAATGTGAGATGAATTAAAAATATAAACATTTATTAGCAAGGAGAGTTCATGAACAATAATTGCATACAAATGCTTCAAAACAATTATAATTTGAACATATTTTATGCCTTCCATTCAAAATGCTTTCTTTAGTAAAAAATCAATTATAAAAATTTAATAATCAATTTTAATTTAAATGATAAAACCATTTAATAATAAAACTTTGATTAAATGATAAATAAGGCTGTCATAAAAGAAAAATCAAGAAGTAAATGTACTCATATATATATGAGTACATTTACTTCTTGATTTACTTCAATGTAATAATGTAAACAATATTACATCTTGATTTGTATCACTATCATTTAAAATTAAAAGAAATTTTGAGTTTGGATTTTGTCTATGAAAAAGTGACATGAAAAACAAAAAAAACAAATGAATTATGGATGTAAATGGGTAAAAGTGCTTGCATTTTCTTACCCATGTTTTTTGTGCAAACTCTTAGTCAATATCAAGATGTTTTAAAAATATTTTAACATGTACCAATACAGTTTGTTGACAGTAAATCAGTTCATACCACTTCATTATTATAAACAAGACTTCATTTTAATGTAAGCATGTTCTTGTGATTCACTCATAACACTCTGGAAAGTTCTATATTTTAAAAACAGTAGAGCTTCGATTATCCGACCTAATTGGGGACTGAGGTTGGTCGGATAATTGAAAGGTCGGATAACCGAAAAGTATGAAAAAATCCATTATTAGTGTAGTATATTATTATATCCCATGTAATTAGTATATTAGTATATCGCTATTAACCTACTTTGCGTTGAATTTTCATTGATGTTAAGCCTAACAAAAATTTTTTAAAATAATAATCATCGCTATTGTATCGTTAAAAATTAGAAAATTAAGCTTCGTTTAAATACTGGCTCCCTTTCATGGTCGAATGAGTGTTGCCAGCTAAAACACGTAAAAATAATATTAAAGTAGCCAAGACATAGCCAAATATTATAGCACCACATCAATAGCGGACATTTGAAATTTGCCGACTAGGATGGTCGTTTAACCGAGGCGTCGGATAATCGAGGCTCTACTGTATTACATATAACTACAGACAAATATTTTCAGATATTTCCAAATAGAAATATTTCTGCAGCTTAATAAACTTGCATCTCACTCTAGTCAGTATGTCACTTACAACAGAGAAATGCAAGCCAATTCCCACATTCTAATTAGCTTGCTAATTAGAATAGTGGCTAGTAAGCACAGTTTCCCAAAAATACAATAAATGTTATTATTAAAGCTTTATTAAACAAACACATAAAAGAAGATAAAATTCAAAATAAGCAAATAGCCCTAGCTCTAACAGGGAAATCAGTAGTGGCAGTGGCAACATCTTATGTCAAACATGCATGTTGCGGTTTAGGAGTTTAAGTGCCAACTTTGACTCCTAATATCTCTATAACCAATGAACCAATTTGGATGACATTTAAAATACAGTTGTCCCTTGATAGTCTGATGTTTTGTAATCCAACATATGCAGTAGTCCAGCGCACCTCCTGTCAAGGTCACCATAGTCCCTGTCCTCGTTATGTGTCTGCTTGCACAGAAGCATGTCGCCACTTGAATCTCCCCACCCAATTCTTACAAGATGACACGCATTTCGTATGTTTTCCGTAAGCAGTTCTGTTCGAACAGTTGGAGTAGGGAATATTGTATGCTACTGCTAGCAAAACAATGCCAAATATGTAATCACTTTCAGTAATCTGGACACTTTTGGTAATCCGACACTCCTTTGGTCCCATACGTGTCGGATTATCAAGGGACGACAACTGTATTTAGTTTCCATGATAAGTATTATGGACATCTTACGTTTTGAATAAATTTATTGGATCATTTTTGACTTGCACGATCAATATTTTACAGCCTAGATTTACAATGAGAGAGAATAGAGAATAGTGACACTGAGCTACCAAACAATCTAGAAGGAGTCTGCATATGTTTAATAGCTCTTTCAAGAATCGATCACCTCCTGTTTACCATTTTAAAGATTTTATTAAAAAATATTGGGAATTTACAAAATAATAGCCCATTTTTTAAATTTTAACATATTATTGGTCAATCAACTATCACATGACATGACATAGTGATGCAGGCTATCAAGTAACTGTCACATGTAAATACAATTATCATGTGATTTCAGATTGTGATATTGGGGGTAGAATAAATCGAAAGTGAAAAAAAAACTGTTAATTTCTACAATGGGCCAATAAAAGGAATAAGTGAACAGAATAAACTAGACACTTGTGGGAGTTGATCCACTGCTCTCAGGTGAAACAAGACAAAGGCAAAGAAATGTAACAGAACAATAATTTAATTTTCCAATAATTTTATATCAAAGGATGTGTAGCGCATCAAGAGTTTCTCACATAGTACATTAGAATTCCAACAATAATCTTAAGAGTCCTTCTTTGTTAGAGATTTACAGTAGAGACAAAGAGTTTGAATTTGAATCCTCACCACTCTTTTTCTTTACAGACTTGGAAATTCATCAGAGATCTTTGTTCCACTATTAAAATCCTCCCATGCATCTTTGTTTTATAATCCACTATGGTAGTTTTTCACTTCCTCTCACTCAGCTATTTGGTAACTGCTTCCTTGCTCCTGATCCACACTTCACACACGCCACCTTCTTGAAAACCCTTCTTCCCATCAACTCTTTTTCTGTTTCCTTCCAACCATGCCAGTCATTCCATCATGGCCAGGGGAACTTGTTAGGTATAAGACACAAGATAATTATCATGTGACTCCACATCTTGTGATTACTTTTGATCTATTAATTAACACAAGCCTAACGATTTAAAAATAGAGTATTTATAAAATAATATCCCATATTTTTTAAATTTTGGCATATTATTAGTCAATCAGTTATCATGTGACATGACATACTGCAAGCTATCACATGACTGTCAGGTAAATATTGAATTATCATGAAAACTATTATATTATGAAGTTTATGAAGTTATTGATAACTGAAAAATACTTGAAATCCTGTAAGAAAAAACTGGTGGAACCAGGTTGAAAAGTAAAGCTCAGTGAAAACAAGTATCATCACAAAAAAGGCTTCAAGTTTTACTTTGTTCCTTAAAGTCGTTGCAGCTACAATAATTTGGCTAAACATTAGAGCATCTTTGTGCAATATTAGTAAAGGAACTTTTAAGGCACAAAGTAAAGATTGATCCTTTTGTGACATTGCTTGTTTTCCTGATTGTAAGTTGCTGACCTGGTGGAGATTGGAGACTTAAAATCCCACTTTTAGCACACCAGTGTAAGTCTCCGACTTTTAGGGGGATTGTCAATCATCTCACGTCAGGATGATCTAGGGATGTTCGTGTGTGGAAGTGGCAGAGGAGACAAGATATCTTACAAAAATCCATTTATTTTAGCATAAAACAGACTTACACTAGGAAACAAATATTTTTGAACACAACTGGCTGTTTGGAAATCCCGTGCATCGATGTTGTCATGTAGTTCACTTCCCCTGAATGTCAGTGTTCTTTTTATTGTTTGTCTTCGCAGGTGGCCCCAGGGCAGTGTTGTTAAACAGTTTGTAAGACAGGTGGGGAGACTCCATTGGTCAGCGTCAGCGGCGGCACAGCTTCAGTATCGGCACGAAGATGGAAAACTTCAATCCAAGGGTGTTGACACACACCGTCTTTTTGCATTGGAACCTTTTTGGAAGTCTCCCATGTCCTTAAAGACTGGGATTATATCAATTTCTGTTCTCCCCTTTTTGTCTATCCTGATTGGTTCCATATCAATTTTTGTCACTCCTCGATTGGTCCCTCGTCTGTCTCTAAGCAAAAGACAAGACCTGTTCAGATCATGAGAAAGGTCCGCTTTGGGAATTTACCCTAAACCATCTGTTAACTCTGGATGGAAGGTGTTGATGGGACTTTGAACTTGCACTCATATTTTACTTCATTGTTGTCTAGTCTGTGACATCTTAGAATTTTAACGACACAACACAATGTTCCTTTTTATCAAAATTTCCCTTTTCAAAATTATCTATGTTCCAAATATTTGTATATGAGCATCTTGTCAAAGGTCCATCTCTACTGGAGGATGCTCATTTACATTTATTGCATCATGTTTTACATTAATAGTATTTTTTTTCTTGTCTCAGTTTCATATGACTAGCACAACTGATCCGACAACTGATCGGTTTTAACAATGGAGGTTTTTTCTAGTTTTTGTTTTAATAAATTTCTATAATAAATGTTTAATTTCAACCTGTTTTTGGAACCTCACATGATTTATTAACATGGTGACATTGCTTCATCCAAAACATCCTGAAGTTGTAATCTGTATAATGCTCACTTTATTCACATGTTGAGTCTTACTGTCAAATCTGGTTCCAGAATTTTTAAAAGTTTCTTTTATTTAGATATTTTGCTGAGTTTTACTTTTCAACCTGGTTTCACCAGTTTTCTTATGAGATCAATGTAAGTAGTCTCTTGTGTTCAAATTTTGCAGCCTATTGTATAGTCTTGTGCACAATGTGGCATTTCCTACAGGTGTCATCTGTAAATGCCGTGCGCTTTCTGTAGTTTCTTGTATTTATGGTCTGATCTTATAAAATATATTATAAGTTTTTTAAGTATTTATTTAGCAACAATAGTAATAATAAATGCAACTTTTGTGATACAGTAGAGTCCCGAAAACTTGGCACTCAATAACCCGGCAGTCCGGATAACTCGGCCACACCCTGGCAAGGTGAAAAAACCCCTAGTTAGTTTTCATTATAGACAGCTTTATGCCTCTTAAAGTATTTTTCTGAGGTCTGTCTTATCAGATAAATTACTGTACACTGTGTATTCATTAATTTTCATTTTCATGTAGTAAAGGCTCTATGTCTTCATAAAGTACGTACTTTTCCTTTGTTTAAGGGTATTTGGGCAGTTTATTCTCTGTTGTATTTTCAAGCAAACAATACGTACAAGTACAGTACAGTATTTTCTGAGGAAACACTCGTACTTATTCTTTTTTAATCCCATTCCCGATAACCCGGCATTTTCACAAACTTGGCCATCCTTCGGTCCACTTTAGGCCGAGTTTTCGGGACTCTACTTTATTGATATTTTATTATGGTATGTAAAATAAAAACATCAATACATTAGGAATTCATAATTAGGAAAAAAAAATAAAATATCAGTAGTGTATTTAATATATGCTTATAAATAGCTTACTTTATTTTTATATGAAATATTTAAAAATTTCAGCTGTTATAAAATAAATATCTTTAATAACTCAAATTTTATAATGTATTTTAAAAACAGGCTTACCATCATCAGAGGTTAATAAAGGAGAACGTGGTGAACCTGGAGCGAGAGGGTTTATTGGTCCTCCAGGTGAGAAAGGAAATAATGGCTTTACAGGTTTGCCTGGACTTAAAGGAGAAATTGGTGCACATGGTATTCCAGGACAGGATGGATTTCCTGGTCAAGATGGATTAAAAGGTAAATTTTTGAATTAACAATTAATGTCAAATCTAACATTTTGGATCTGACAGTGAAATATAATAACCTCAAAAAAACATTTTATCAAGTAATAAACTGTCTTCTTAAAATTAATAGCAGTATAAGAAGTCTGTTACAATAAAACATGTAGAATGATTAGGATCAATAGTATTGGGTTGTTCAGAAAGTAAGTTCGTTTTTTTTTTACCACTGTCACTCCTCGATTGGTCCCTTGTCTGTCCCTAAGCAAAAGACAAGACCTGTTCGAGTCACGAGAAAGGTCCGCTTTGGGGAATTTACCCTAAACCATCTGTTAACACTGGACAGAAGGTGTTGACAGGACTTTGAACTTCATTTTAAGGCTTATTTGTAAAAACTTTTGTTTGATTTTGTGCGATTGTTTATTTTTTGTGTCATCAAATATGGAAGATTGAAAGCAGAATTTTCTCTTCTATTTTGCTCTTTTATTACCAAAAAGGTAAGAATGCTGTTCAAGCGAGAAAAAAATTGTGTGACGTGTATGGAAAAGATGTATTGACAGAACGACAGTGCCAAAACTGGTTTACACAATTTTGTTCTGGCAATTTCAATATTGAAGTTGCACCACGTTCTGGATGGCCAGTTGAAGTTAATGAAAACAAAATAAAGGTACTGATTGAAGCAAACTACCAAATAACAACATGTGAAATCACTAAGAGATTAAATTTGTCAAATTGAACTGTTTATGATTACTTGAAACAAATTGGTTTTGTTTCAAAGCTCGATATATGGGTTCCGCATGTTCTTGTTAAGCCCCAATGGACCTAAGTCTATTGGGCAAAGTGGTCGGGTAAAGGCACATTAATCAAGGACTTTACAATTTTGTACATTTTTAACAATAAGGTTTAATTATGAGTACATAAAATACAAAGTTAATATATTCTAAATGACATGAGAAGGAACATAATTACAATTCTGGGTTTTAGAGACAAAGGATCGAAGAAATTACTTAAATATCAAGATACAGCAATTCACATACCGACAATAATATTCTTCGGACGTTCCTTGAA